ACAAACTTATAAATAAAAAAATTTAATTATTTAAATAACACATAACATTATAAAAAAATACAAAAAATTATTCTTAAATGCTTTTTTTTTTTCCATCCAAGTGGAGTAGCCAAATGCCAAATTCCTTACTACATAGGCATGAGTTGGCCATATTTCGCCACACACGAGGCGGCAGTTAAGTTGATTGTGACTTGTGAGAGTGAGAATTAAATTGCTTCAATTGCAGAGTTCAGGGGCTTATATGCATCAATTAAAGTTTAGAGGCTTAATAGTGATTCTGGGGTTAGTTCAGGGGCTTAACTTATGGTTTTGCCAAATTTGGGACTATTTAAGAGGGGCGCAAGGTGGGGCTGATACGTTCTGTCTTTGACCATTCAATCCTCCCAGAAAAGAAAAAGTAGTGTGTGTGATCTCAAAGAGAAAGGGAGAGAAAGATGAGTGGAGAAGGGAAGGTTGTGTGCGTGACTGGAGCGTCGGGCTTCATAGCATCGTGGATTGTAAAGCTTCTCCTCCAACGTGGCTACATCGTCAAAGCCACTGTTCGTAACCCAAGTCAGTCTTGCTTTTTCCTTCAATTTTTTTGTTCTTCCTTTGTGAATTTTGTAATCCCAAGGTCGTTTTCTCTAGTCTACAGAGATTCATTTCTTTAAAAATTGGCAATTCGAGAAAGATTCATATTTTTTTTTTTACTGCTGGTTACTATAGTAATACGAGTACTTACTAGGAGGAGTGCTAGGGGCACTCGCCTTCTGCACTCTCCGGCCACACTTTCACTTTTATTGGGCCACGTTATTCTGGTCGGTAAGAGGTTGCACTCAAAGCCTGAAACAAGCTTACGGTGGCCCAATGAAAGGGGAAGTGTTGGCCGGAGAGTGCAAGAGGCTAGTGCCCCTAGCACTGCTCACTTACTAATTATGTGAGTCTGTGACTGTCTGAATATGTGATAGATGATCCCAAGAAAACAGAGCACTTACTTGCCCTTGATGGGGCTAAACAAAGACTTTGTTTACTCAAAGCAGAGTTATTGGATGAAGGGCGTTTTGATTCTATATTGGATGGGTGTGAAGGTGTTTTTCACACGGCTTCCCCCGTTATTTCTTCATCCACTGTCACTGATCCCAAGGTTCACCCCCCACATCTTCTTCTTCTTGTTTTCCTGTCTGGAACCATGTAGTAGTAGGTTAAGTGTATATATATCTTCCCCATGTTTCAGGCAGAATTGATCGATCCTGCTGTCAAGGGGACTCTTAATGTTCTTAAATCATGCACAAAAGTTCCTTCCATCAAGAGATTAGTTGTGACATCTTCAATAGCTGCAGTTTCATTCAATGGAAAACCATTGACTCCTGATGTTGTGGTGGATGAGACTTGGTATTCCGATCCAGCTTTCTGTGAGAACTCCAAGGTGT